ACAGTTTCCATCGTTTTATCGTGTCCAGTTCTCAAGTAATCCCATAATTTTTCAAAATTATTCAACTATTGAAAGACACGATCGACCTATTAAAAAACAAACAGAAAACTTGTTAACATGTTGATTTCTGATGAGTGGATGACAACAATAGAGAAGTAAGCCGAGTCTGCGTAGGCATAAGTAAATTACCACTGCGTCAACAATAGATCATTTCAATTTTCAAAGGCTGACCTGGAAATATGGACTAAAATATTAATCATAATTCTGCAATCCGGAAGAAACGCATTAGTTGGAAAATATGGCACACACCTGGCGAACTTCGAATGTCGGCAATAGTATTAAGAATCAGTTCATGTGTGATTTGCTACGGTAGTCACTTAGGAAACACCTACAAAACGATTGTTGTTTTGAATTGATTTGAAACTGATTTCGCGTGCAAAACGTGCGTTTTCATGTGAGTTAGTGTAGAATTCGAGATGAGTTATTCTGAAGACTCGTGGTTTTGGGAGTGTGGTGGTGACTCTGAAAATATCAAAAGCTCTTCATTCTGTGTTTGTTTCCTTATTTTAAATAATCGAGAATGAATTGTTGATTGCCAATGAGGAACAGATATCTAAGGAAACCACCTTCAATTACCTACTCCAGCTTACCACAAAGAAAAAATTGCACAAACTAATTTATTTCCTCGATATTTAAATTGGCATGACCAATACGTCCTAATTAAAAGAATCATTAAGCGGGACAGGAAATCATAACTCAAAACCCTTTCCAGCCATCCTCACTCCACTCTATGAACCAATTAAATTAAATACTCAACCCTAAATCATATAATTAAAATGGTACTCTGGTATTCGCTTAAGTGCTGCTCTTAAAGGTGGCCTTGGTTCATATATATATTCACACGGACTTGTCGAAGCCGAATATGTTTTATGTCTTTGGAGTATTAAAATGAGAACATTCAATTAATGCTAAAATAAATAGACTGCGTCTATGGCATGAGTGACGGCTATTTTAGTGCGCTGAAGGGAGCTGAACTTCAACAACAATCATTTTTTTAAACCCGAAACCAAAGCAGGTTGTCGATCCTCATTTGCGTTATCGTCCTGGATTTGATTATTTAAGGTGATTGAAAATTGACCATTTGGATCGGAGCAGTGGCGGGTCTTGAAAAATTTGAAAGAGTATAAAGTTACCTAGTTTTTATTAATTAAGTCTATTGTACGTTCTGTTCCGTTTGCAAATCTTGTAATCACCTTGTCATTAGCGTTGTCTGCTTTGAAGGACGAAGTGTTTCGACCAACAACTGATACTAATTTACTGCTCAATGGCGCGGCTGGTGCGGGACTAAATGCAGCGAAATTTTCGCTTTAATCACAGTTTTTATTTAGCAGGGCAAGGGGAAATCCGAGTGTTGCGCGGGTGTTCGAACAAGCGCTCATGGCAAGAGCGGGAGGCACAAATTAAATAATAAAGTCAACTTTACTTGTGTTTTTTAGTCCAGAATCTACGAATTTCCCAAAACGAATGGACGCGGAAGCTCTTTTAAAATCCGCTCTAACGATGTCTCCAAATGCAACAAACACCTTTTTTGCACACTTTGATCATCAATGAGCAGAAGAGAAAGACATTTTTTACAGTACCATTTTAATTTTGTGCTTACGGGACACTTTGTAAAGTAAAGGTATCTCAATCAATTGTTTATATTATAAAACCGAAGCCAAAATAATATTAAATCATTCGCATTGCGCTACTTTTGAATTATTATTTAATTTATGACTCCCGCTCTAGCTCTATGCTCTCTTTTGAACACCCGCGCAACACACCGCTTTTCCCTTGTCATGCCAAATAAAAACTGCGATTTAAGTGAAAATTTCTCTGAATTTAATCCAGCACCAACAACCCCATTGAGTAGTAAATTAGTAACAGTTGTTTGTCGATATTTGGCGAGTTTAATTTCAAATCCACCTTAAAACGAATCAACACGTTTAACAGAACTTCAATTACGGAGGATAGGATCGTTTAACAGCAGAAACAGACAATGTAAAGGACAAGATTTGCTGGAATAAATTTATCGAAAATACAAGATACCCGCAACGTATGACATAAATTATCAAAGTGAAAATTGAGCTGAAGAACCACTCGATTTACATAGATAGATGAAACCATCCGAATCATCCAATTAATCGTTTAATAACCGAGCCAGACGATCGATTAGTGAAGCAAGCTTGAATGGCGCAATTCGATTGAATGCCACCTAAAGTTTCATCGCATCGCAAAACTAATATAAATAAGTAAGCAATATGTTTGAATAAAATGTCACTTTGACCTTGGCAAAGTGCAATCTGTGGTATAATAATTATTGTCGCAACTCGCAGTATGCTAATCGAGCTGAAATTGCCTCTCAATAGATTCTAAATAGAATTCAAACAGGTAATCCATTACAGAACTGGTTAGTGGGTGGATTTCCACTTAAAGTGCCGTCCGCGTTATCTGTGTGGAGATCGTCCACCTAATAACACCAATTAATTTAAAGCACCTGATAAAGTCAAAACTCATTTATTCAAGTTTATCGGCGACCGCAATCGTTATTGCACTAGTACTAAACAAGGCAGCCTATGCAACTAATAAATATCTTAATAATTCATTTATTTAAGGCAAGCGTCCATATATATTAATAATTTTTTTCGGACTCCCCGAAGAAGTAACAAAGAAATTGAAATGTTAGCTCGTTAGATTGTGAGATGTTCCGGATTTATTAACTTGCCATGCCATTAAATACAATTTTCTGTGTGTAGCTGCACGCTATTTCTATTACAGGATGCTATTAAATATGAACAAAAAAAATATCCTAATAGTGATTTATTCACAGATTTGTACGTGTGCTTAAGTTCTTACTAAATCGGTAATTTTCCCAATGTCCCATTATTTGGAAATTCATTTTAGCTCCAAACTTAATAATTCAAAATTTTTTTAAAGGCAAATTTGTCCAATTTTGTGCTGTCCACAGTTACTTGAAAAGTAACTGAAATGCCGCTTAACGAAGGTGATATTTTTTCTGATAATCGTCGATACAAATTGCGGCAATAAATACAAAAAAAAAACAAACAAAAAATGTCAGTTCTTTTCATGAGTTTTATGTTTGCATAATTGTTTTATTTTATCCTAAAAGATTTACTATCTGGAACCCCTAAAAATGGCCTTTCATCGCAGTTTATAAAAGACCCGCGCAAAAATAATACTTTTCTGAAATTTGGACTTTTTCTGGAAAACTACCAACATTAAATAATGCAAAAGCAGGCAAAGCTTACCAAACGTCAAAATACATTTTTTTTATCAAAAAATGCGAAAAACCATTTTTACGCATTGCAGTCAATTTCTAACAAAGTACATACATAGCAAATAAGATCCAATAATCTGATAAAATATTAAGTAATTTCCGCACATAAGTAAAGTAAGATTGCGTACATTTTCCAACCATTGGGCTCATTAGACGAATGCCTGCATGTAAAACTTTCGACATTACCAGCTTTCAGATGAAATTATTATAATTTATACCGGAGGAGTCTGATCGGCAGATACCAGCTAGTGGAGCAACAAGATGTGCTCAAATTCTAGGCATATTTCAACGTGCCCAATCAAAGGCCCGCACGTTCCGATTTAAACGGATTCTGATGGAATGTCAGCCAGCGTTAAGATTAAAGCTGATCGTAAGGGCTTTTATTGATCATCGTCTGCACTGGTCAAAAGTCACAGTAAACACAAAGTTGTTAAATTTAACAACAAMATYTTTCGAKTATTATGGCATGTTTTGCGTTATTCGATTTCTCATTTTGCGCTTTTTTTTTGAAGATTAATACTCGTTTTWAACTTTTTGCACTTTCAAAAGATGCGKCTCTCCTCCGGGTGCTTGAATTCTCACTCTTTCGCWTGTCTCTACTCTCTCTGACTCGGTTTCCTTGAAGAAAAAGTAACATACAGGGTGTTCAGATGTAACAGTTAACTGCATTTTATCAATACGGCTTGTATTGAAGAATTGAAATACAAATCTGATCGTTTTCTTGCATATTCTGACATTAGCTGTGGCTAAAAATTGCCAGCTACTAAAAACGTTGCTAAACAAAAAATAAACGAAGTTTTGAAAACAAAAGGATGGCGATTAAAACAGTTCATCTCAAGTGTTTGGAAGCGCCCGAATCAGCTTGTTGATTTGCCGCCTGAAAATTCCTGGCACCTATTAAACGAACAAATCCCCGTTATCGATAGCACGAATAAACAATAAGAGAAAGTCGACGTTAAAATTCTAATAATATATCAACCAACATTTCGCTGTCAGTTCGCTAGGTGGATAAAAAAGGAAACAATGAAAAGGAGTTAATGAAGCATACACACTGAGCGATCGGGAAATAAGAAGACAGTCGGGAGAGAGCAAATATTCAAATGAAAAATATTAGCAACGGTACAATAATAATGGGTTCGGCTTGAAAATGTTCAGCATTCGGGCCAGATCATATGAATTAAGAGTGCCAATAAAGTGGAACCGTTGAATGGTACCAAACATCTAYAGGCAAGTGCCGCTTTGCAATTATATGAATAATCTTTTCCTCAAAATGCTTTAGTTCAGTTTACTGTGATCAAAACACCAACAGCTCCAGAACATYTGAAATGACGGCTAAAAAGACTMAAAATGTTAAGAGGAAGGAAGARGTTTTCGAAAAATTAAATCTGGTAAACATGGAAGATCAAATGACAAAACAATTAGAGTAGAAGCTGATGATGATAAAAGGAAAGAAAGCAATTGGGTGAAAACACACAAAGGAACATGCAGTGTTTGGAGGTATGAATATGGATCCGGAAAAATCAGCAACCAAAATTTCTAAAAAAGCGAGCTCAATTGAAGAGGAAAAACAAACAAAAATTTTAAACTTTTTTGGAGAACTTCAGATTAATCAAAATAAACACCGTGGAGTCTGAGGGTTTTTCATATAAAAAATTGTACTTACCTATTTAACCTCAATATTCAGCCTCAAATGCTAGTCGGTGCGTATTAAAACTTCCCGTTTGACACGGACGTCAGATGGTTACAAAAATCGCACTTTCTCGGTAAAAATCGCACTTTGAACAACATTAATACCACAAACCGATAGAATGGAACTTACCATTTGAGAAAATCAACAGTTTTTCGCACAGAATTTTAAAAAATGCCAAAATTTTCGAAAAACTTATGGACCGATAGAGACACTCTTACTCAAACGCGACTGAAGTGAGCAAACGTCATGCGCGCATGGTGTTTTTAAGACTTCTTCTGTGTAAAGTGGCCCCATTTCTGGGTGGAATACCATTTTGAATCGCCTTGTTGAGTGACAAACTGAGCAATGGACAAAACAAGGGAAAACAAACATCGAAGTGACAAAGAAAATTGACGAGTTTAGAAGTTTACAGAACAGATCTCATCGTTGGAAAATAGAAACATTGGGCATAAAASTTAGGAAAAGAGCAGGAATTAGAAGATAATTTGACATATTTTAGGCAAAAAGCGACTAAAACGAAAAGAGAAAGGTATTCTCAACAATAGCAATGTGGAAAGGAATAAAGCTAAAACAGTTGTGAACAAACCAAAATATTTGCAGAACAAGCAACAGCAATGTAGAGAGTAAAAATATTCATAATTGGCGATTTTATTGGCAGATTTGACGTGAAATATAAAATACCACAGAATGGCAAAAACATACTTGACTTTACTGACCAGTTTACTCATGTTCAGTTATAAAATAACAAAATAACAACTTGAGGGCAATAAAATCCTCGTTCGATTCTAGCGCACCCACCTCAGAACATCAGACTCCGTTCCGGCACAAAACGAAAAAAAAACACCAAACAAAAAATATTTGAAGCAAACGTATTCATAAACACCGTTCCTCACGGGTTTCAAAGTGCATATTTAAGTCTTACAGGCACTCCTTCGCCTTAAAACTCTATTGTCAACTTTGAATTTATTACCGTGTCGCAGTGTAATACACTAGTAATGCCGCATTGTTATGAATTGACAAAAAGACGATACGCGGATGATTATGATCATGTATAGCGTATGCGTGATTATTGTATTGTTGGCACGTTTTTTTTTTTCAAATGTTAATACTGTGTGACCTTAAAAACAGTGTTGCGGCCATTCGGGTGTCTCAATTCTTAAATGCGACACCAATAAACCAATAAAGGTCAATTTACAAATTTCAAAGCTCTGTTCATTCATTTAACAAGCTAGGGATGAGCAAAGCAAGACCAAGTCTTGTTGTTGAATACATAGTCTTGGTCTTGCAAGTTTTGCTTTTGAGACTCTCACATCAGTCTCGCTCATCACAAATAACAACAATCGAAACATTTCCTTCGCTGTTCATATGGCGCAAGAAAGTATTATTACCTTTCCGTCTTTGTGCTTTATATTAGCAGCGAGTTTCCGAAGTACTAAACCTACTTTCTTTGATTGCCACTTTCCGGCATTTAAGCAAATCAATGGATACTTAAAAACGTAGTTCATTCCAAGACGTTCTTAGCTTTGAGGGAAAGTCACGAAAACAGCATTTTTTTTATTGGTTCTCGTTAAGACTAAAAGAAATGGACAGTTTAACCAGGAAATATTATCGACGGGAAATTGATTGGTCGCATAAGGAACAATGATTATGCAAATGGACCGCTCTATTAGCCATTGATGATCAAAGCCAAAGAGTAACAACCCACAGTGGGCACCGGCTACCATTCTACCATTACATCTCCCGGATTAATCCGTGCGCGGTCAATCAAAATTGAAAGGAAAACCGTTGGAAATAATTGTTTTCTAAACTGCCACTTAATTTCCCGTTTAATAGATAGGATAACGGTGTAGTCACGTTAAGTGTTAGCCTTCCTCGCAAGGTTGCACAGGCTCAAGAATGCATTTAATATTGCTTAAAAATTGCAGTTTATTAGTTAGTCGGGCATTGTTCGTCGGATAACCGCTAGATAACATTCTGACCTGGAAAATCCGATGCTAATCATTGGTTTCGCTTGGGCTACAGGAGCTATTTACCGAACAAAACACCTTTGGGGCACTAATTGCTCATTCTTATTTGTGCATACTGAATCAAATAGATTATGGACTCGGTATCAACGAGCCAACGGTATCAGATTTAAAATAAATTGAATCAGATGGTTTTTCGCTTTGCTCCTAAAACGGTGCATTATTATACAAATAATAATAAACAAATTAATTCACCAAAAAAAATCAAAAGAAACCCGCAAACCAGCAAGTTTTCGTTTGAACAAAAATGTACTTTGTGCACTTATTTTCGCTTCACTATCCTGAAAAGGGCCAGATACAAAAAAAAACAAAAGTCCTTCAATGTGTAGCTTCTTTGCTCTCGTAAGAAGCAAATATTTCCTATTGTTTCTTAATATTTGAATTTACAGTTTTAATTAAGTTCCCCATTCTATGAACAATTTTACATTGATTTTTTTACTGATGATTTTTTCAAACAATTTTTTGAATCTAACTAAACTCAATTTATTTCCTAAAGAGCATCTCAACCTCCAGTAACTTCCTCCAAAGAAGCAAATGGCACCACATGTGCATCAGCCTACTTGAGAAAATGTGGAGAAAAAATCCCGGGCACATAAAATTTGTGATTTTCCTGATAAATTTTCCAAAAGAAAATTAATTGCTACATTCGCTACATACAGGGAACTGCCAGTAGCAAAGGTAATTCTTAAATAGCAAATCAACGATGAAAATCAATCACCATTGGGCAAAAAAGAACATGGCCACATACCTTACATAACCATCTAGTTAGAGAATGATTTATTGTTTCAATGAGCCATTTTAACTGCCGGAACAGTAGCTACGAATCCATTGAAACCATTGGCATGCAAATTTTAGTGCTGCCTTCATGCAATGAGTCTTAGTATGGTACTGTATTGCGACAGTGCATTTTACGCAATTGAACATCGAATTTATATTTGAGAAAACTGTATACCGCAGTGAATTTCACGAGGAAAATTATCAAACGAACCAAAAACGATGAAAACACCAACAGAATCAATCATCAAATGTTTCATTTTTGCTTCTCATATTTGGATGGATTGGAAATAATTCGTTGGTTTTTGGCCTAAAAAATAATCGGATCAAGATTTCGGTCATATTTGATAAATATTTAAATAAAACGAGGTTCATTAACAAAATGAACAATTTGCCTTTCCATAAGAATTAGCAGAGTTTCCTCAACAACAAAGCTTAAATTGTCGAGCCTGTGCCACTTGGAGCCCGTTTTGCTCAAATTAACAGGGTTTTGTGATTTTTTTTCAATAACATCGAAAAGGTTTTTGAGAAGTATGCCGAAACTAACGCGCAACTTTGAGTATATTCAACTATTTTGAGGACTTTATGAAAACCCGGTACAAAGCAGCAAACGTGGTAAATGTGTGAAAAATTGAATTTTCGCTATTGTTTTGAGTTTGCGCAACTTATACTGGGAAATGTAGAATGAACGTTTTAAAATGGAAAATGTTCAAAACGGGTCCAATTTTCTTCAATTGTCAATTATTAAATTTCGTCTTCCTTTTCAATTATGAAATTTATTTTTTTACTGCCTGTAAAGAGGATTTAGAGAACCAAAAATGATAATCCAACGATGGTTTAAAAACGTCGACTGGACAGCGACTTTCAAGAGAATTTGCTTGTTTTTCTCAAAAAAACTGGTTTGTCGAAAGCTATCGGGTGGCAATTTAGCACAAACATATCAAACATTGATCTTAAAAAGCGTTCCAAACATGTAAATAAATGAAACTCAGTAAAACCAAAATGGTTTTTGATGAATGCTATTTTACATTTTTTCATTCATCGTTTCGTTTAGACCTCATCTTGGATCAAATTTTCCAGCATCAGGCTCCGCATTCGAGCCCGAAAGCCACTGAAAAAATGAGCGAATTTGATGGGGATTTTGGAAATATAAGGCATGTTTGAAGGGCCTGAACAAAGTTTTCCATCCAGGTCATCAGAGGAGTTTTTGAAGTGTTATAATAGTGAGACTGTTAAAAACGATCAATGTTCAATATGAATTTAATGACAGGAAAAAAATATTAATGGGTTAAAAACTGGTGACTTTTTCGGGCTTTCTGGCCGACGTGAAAAAGAGCGTTTTCCTGACGGGTGGCTTGCATCTACAGAGGTTGGCTTTTTTCCGGCTAAAGGCTCGAAAAATTCACCAGTTTGCAACAATGGGGGCGAAAGCTTAATGAGTTATTTTAACCACTCGTGTCACACTTTGTGTTGGCCGTACCATTTTCAGCACTAGCTTGACTAAAAAATCCTGATATATAAATTGAAAAATTCCCATTAATCAATCAATCAATCGACTGGTTGCATTGCTGCAATAGCTACTACCCATATTTAAATCAGCTTATCTAGGCAGGAAATATCACACTCAATCGCGGGAACAAGCATTCCCGCTATCGAGCCAACCTCTTTCATGGTCTTTTTGTGAGTTTGCGATATGTACGGTATGCCCATCTGGTCATCTGTTGTGGGTTTATAGTGGTATAGAGGTGGATTGGCGCTCTGCAACTCACAATTTTTCGCAGCTCCGTAATGATTTTAGCAAAAATTATCATTACAAAACCGAAGCGACCGATTTACACGGAACTATTAGCTGAAGAAGTTGAGTGGGCATTATGGAATAATCACCTTGGTGAAATATTAGCTTAACGCCAGTATATTCAAACAATGCCCCATACATGGATAGGCGGCACCAGATGCCGCTAAGAGCGGACAAAAAACGCATTCAACCTGCTCAATCCAATTCGCATGTCGTATTTTTCTCGATTCGAAATGATAAACGGCGCATAAAATATGAAATAGTAAAGAATATTTCATCGCGTCGCGCGAGTATAAGAAATAACTTGTAGAATATCCCACGTTACAACTTCGCAAGTGAATGTTTTATTTATTTTCCATATTTTCTCTAACTAGTTTACAATTTGCTGAATACGAAATGGTAATGCCGACGGATCTGTTGTACTTTGAGATGATGGCGAAGACCTACATGTACATACACCTGCTAAGTCTTTGTCGGGATTTCGAAACGAAAAAACTGGCAGTTCGAGCAATCAATGCCAATGGACCAACCAGATACTTACAGTTTAATTTTAATTAAATTAAACCTTGAATTTAAAAGAATTAATAAGAAGAATACAAATTGGAGCAAAATTGTTTGTGCCTTTTCTTCACATTTTTTAACTTTTGTAGTATACTATATATTACGAAAGTTAAAAAAATGTGAAAAAATGGAACTCAAAATTTTGCTTCAATTTGTATTTGTAAATTTTGTCACTAAACAACACAGTTAACAAAACGTCGGTACTGTTTGCAAAGCTTTAACTGTTTAAAAGGAATATATTTGAAAATTATCTCTGTCCCTCGAGGCTCAATATTTATCTTGGTTTTGTTACGGGCGAGCTTCCGTAAAAGAGCAAAGACCAAACAGTGAAAAAGTGCGTCTTGGACGGTTAAACAGAAAACGAAAGTGACCACAAGAGCTCTGTTGGTTCAGGTGATTTGTCGTTGCCTGTTTGGTTTGTGTGTTGTGACATTGTTTACGTTTGAATTGTTCAATGTTTGCAAACAGCCAACAATGGAGTTTTAAGATTTGCATTCAGAGTAAACAATTAACCGTAATTAAGACAATGTGGAAGAATTTTTAATTGCGTTCCGAAAAATACACATTTAGAAAAGTTTTGGCAAAAACATCGACTTTTCGACCACTTAAAGTAAAATCATGCTTCATATGACTTCCAAGTTGGGTTTAAGCAGCTTAAGTATTCGAAATTTAATGAATATTTCACCAGTTTTCTGAACGAGTTTATCAATGGCGCTTTCAGTATAAATAAATTAATTAAATTGTCTCGTGATAAATTTTTATTGACTGACCTTAATTCGCATCGTAAAAATTGCTTCTATAATAATTTCATTTATATGCATGGAATACTTTCCGTTTGAGGGAGTGCATTATTAGCGGCAGATGATGATGAGGCACTTTCAAATAAAGCGATTAGTTAATTTGGCATATTATTGTGGCCACCATTAAACATGCATCATGCACCAACCTATTCCGATCAGTTGCTATGCTCGGATCTAGTCAAACTAGTCACTCACCTCTTTTAATCCATCGAGCCGTCCTAAACTTCTGGCCTGTCTCAAGCCGGTGTCCGCTCTCCGGCCTTTCTTCCTCCTCTCCAAAAGTCGGGGTTTTCTGCTTGGAGTCACCGGCTCGAAATCCTCCGGATCCGAATGCACTTCCGGAAAATAATTGTGCCATTTACGCGAGTTTGGACTAGTGATACGCTCGAAAAAACTTTCAAACATTTTGAACTATTTCACTAAGAACTAAGTTATAGTCTGATTTTCGATAGTTTGCGCATTTTTGCAGCGGCCCAACTACACGGTTGACGCGAATTTGTGTGGAACCTGAAACAAAATAAGCATAAAACATAATTTGCAAGTGCTGAAAAATCGAAAAATTACAACTGACTGTTTTCAATCTTACAGCCCATTGTGTAAACGTATTAAACCCAAATAGCCGTTTATAGTTATGAGCGTTGCGAAAAATGGAATGCGACTAGCCTGTATGGCGATGGAATTTCAAATCACCACAGGCTCATGTGTGGCATTACAATGTCGTTGGGTTTATGTGAATTGCAGAAAAATGTGGCGGTTGGAAATATGGCAAATTACAATTTTATGTTCATTATATTAGGTCAACTTGTAGGTTAAATCCAAAGCCAAACCGGTTATTTTTTCGAGATTTCTTCCCTATCGAGGTTTCGCAAACATGAGTGGCTTGCATTTTCAGAGGTGGTTGCTGCGTCGAAGCCTTTGAAAGCGCAAGAAATTGCTAGCTGGTTTTTGGGCTTTTAAGTCGTGCTGATTGATTAAATTAACGCCTACTTGTTGAAGTCATTAGCTACTTTTATAAGTTTTTTAGTCAAATCATCATTTTAGCAGGAAATACAGACTTGATGGTTCTAGGCCTTCTTGCCAACTAATTTGTATTTATTTTCGTTTTTGAAATTGTTCATTGTAATGTTCGTATACTTTTGTCTTCCAAACATAGCGTGCTTTTATGTGTTTGGGACCGTTTGGAAATTTCCATATAGTTTGAATTTTGAATAAAATCCCCTTGATAAAACGGCATTAACAAAACGGCACACTTCGGGTTATCGTCGCAAGTTATCTTCCAGTGTGCGCATTAGAGCGCTCACCTTGATATTAGACATTTTATGGCACTATCCCGAACACGATCCGTATTTTCGCAAATTTGTTCGAGAAAATAGCCCAGATAAGCCCATAAGGAAACAGGTAAATTGCACGCTTCGGATTTATGGCATATGATGGTGCCTTTTGGCCTTGTTTAGCATGTGCAACTGGCGTTTCATTCACTCTGATATTACCGGAATCATTCGGGTTTTAATCTAAATCTATTTTGACCGCAGTTTGATATGAGGTGGAACACATGTAGGGAATTAGATTTGGCTTTTATTGACTAATCGAATCTGGAAAAGATTGGCATGAGATGATTTTATAAAGTAGCAATTTCGGTACATTGAAGACTCTTGAAGAATGTTTGGTTTATCATACTAAAGCATGAGAATGTTGTATTCACGCGGTTGTGATTTATTTTATTATTCAGTTGTCTTTCATAGATATATTTAGTACTTTCAATTTCCAGAGATTCCATGCTACAGGTTTTTGTGGCATAGTCAAGTACTGACTTCTGGGGTGGTGGGATGGGAATAACAATAATAATTACGGTAAAAAAATCAACACTTTTGTGCTACATTATAACGGAAAAACTATCCTGAATTTCCCATTTACCTTACCTATTTGCTTTATTAGTTGATTATTCTACGTATTATTTTCTTGTTCATTCTCTAAATCTCCCTAAGCGTTTGTTCCTCTGTATAATTCAATCAATTTCCCTTTTATTGGCATTTGAATTTTTATATTGAAATTGATTTAACGAAGATCAGGGGCGGACCCAGCTTTAAAGTCAGGGGGGTTATGTAGAAAAAATACAGTCTTCTGTTATCTATGAAATTAGAAAAATGATCGTCGTTTTGTGCAAGGATGTTCATGTTTTCCGTCCCGTTTTGCGTGTTTCTCGGAAGCAAAATGAGCAAGAACGCTCGTTTTTATATCAGTCCAGAGATAACTGAATGGCCTTTATTCAAAGTTTCTCAAGAACCATTCGAGCCATAGAATTCGTTTTGGCATCGTTGTATAGAGAATTGAAAAGTCGATTCAGTCGTAACAACGTTAGTGAAGAAATTAGAGTAGTTTTGACCCAGAAAGCGAAATTTGAATATCAAACACTTATGTGCAAGATTATGCCAAAATTCCATGTTTTTCGTCCCATTTTTGCTCAT